TTCAACTGTATAATGTCTGCAATGCTGACTTGATAGCTCAGGGCCAAAGCAGCAGGGGACGCCCTGGACAAGTAACCAGTTTATCACAGGGCTATACAGAGAGACAAAAAAGCACACTCACGTTCACAGCTAAAACAAATGTACACTGACGTGAAAAAAGCAAATGGAGCATGGCCAGCTATATGGCTTGAAAAACACAGAATCAGCCACTCTCTGACCTGAGTGGAAATGAGTCGGGAAGCACTCATATAAATGAGAAACAAGGAACTAAACAGAATCCTAATACTCAAAGGGAAACATAAGGAGGACAGAAGGAGCATAAGGCATGCAAGATGAAGGAGAAAGATGTGCTGCATGTTGGAGATGGTGTTATCAGTAAATCAATCAGAATCATCACATGCAGCTATCCAAGTGCCATGGTCAGTCATACAACTGGACTCCTCTTACAGATAGCGTCACACTCTGGAGTCAAACAAATTACTCTGCATGTAGGAGCAGTTGAAGACGGCTGGTTTTTAACAATCAATCTGACTAGTGGGAATAATCAGGTCCCAGTGACGGAGACGGACAAGCTGAAGACTGCCTTTTGTACACCTTTTGGCCTCTTTGAATATAATCAAACGCCCTTCGGCTTGTATAGTGCTCCAAGTACATTCCAGTGGTTAATGCAGAGGCTTGTTTGGGGACCAACAATGTCAGTCATTGTTGTTATATCTTGACGACATTGTTGCATACTCCTCGGTCTCACAGCACCTGGAGAGGCTGGAGCTGGTCCTGGGCCACCTTCAACAACAAGGGTTGAAGGCCAAGCTTGAGAAGTGCTTCTTCTTCCAGCCAAGGGTTAAATACTTAGGCCAGGTGATCTCCCAGGAGGGTGTTTCCACAGACCCTACTAAAGTGGAGGCGGTGGCGGAGTGGAAGTGTCCTCAACATGTCACTGAACTGCGGTCCTTTTTAGGGTTTGCCAGTTATTACCGGCAGTTTGTTGAGGGTTTTGCCAAACTGGCCGCTCCTCTACACAAGCTAGTGGCTGCAGTTGCTGGGACTAAACACAAGAAAGGATCGGGGAAGCCTCTTGGTGAGTACTGGTCCCCCCCAGTGTGAGAAGAGCTTTGAAGCCTTGAAAGCCCAGCTCATCTCTGCTCCTGTGCTCGCCTATGCAGATTTGGGCAGTACTGTCACAGGAGACGGAGAATGGCATCAGACCTGTTGCCTATGCAAGTTGTGGTCTTCAGCCCACAGCAAATTTGATTACTGTAGTTCGGTCCCAGGCCGTATCCCCGGGTGGCGTTGTCGGTCTCTTTTGTAATACAAGTCCTAAAAACCACTGCTCAGGCTACAGATGGATGACTATTTGTCCCTCTGAGAATTATTTTCTAAATCTTACTCCTATTACTGTGTGTAGACATGCCCTGACCTGACCACTTTAAAGTTGAAGCTACAAAAAAATCTCTCTACACTTCCTACTTTGCCCTGTAAGAGTTTAGTAACTATAAAGTTCTATTCAGCCTTTTTCTTTTAAATTTTTGTAAAATGTATTTTTTATGCCAGTGGTAATGACCATGTTTTTAATATTATTACTGCATTTTGAACTGTCCAGTGTATGAAATGTGCCATGCAAATAAATCTGCCTTGCCTCGCCTTAATTTCTTTCCTGAATAATTAAATGAATCAGATTCAATCTAAGTATTCCAGTTTAAACATGAACAAAAGTAATGTTAACTATGACTATCAATGTAATACACTACAATTCCTTAACTGGCCAGATTTAACGATATTCAACAAAATATAGAATATATATACAACAGAGCCCTCTAGTGGCCACATAGGCTAACTGTATGCTGAGAAACTGATAACAACAGTTATAACAATTGAAACAAAAAATCAACAGACTTAAATGTTGGTTTTTGTTTTATGTGTGAATCAGATGTGTGATTAGGTGGCCACTAAATTGAAGTTTGTTGTTGTACCTTTGAACAAGTTTTTTCTTTTTAGGCAAAGAAATTGAAGTACATTTTTGACTCTTCAAATTCTTCAGTCATTTCAGTATAATTTTAGCAAATCAATCCAACATTGCAAGAACATCCCCGAATGCCATTTTTTTTCTCTATTGTGCAGCACATCCTGCTTTAAAATTCCAAATGTTAAGACGTGTATCACTCGCTCAAATAAAAATCTTGTGATGACAAAAATTGCAAGTTTGTATGATAATTCAAAGTTGTTGCTACATTTACTAAATTTATTAAAAAGACAAAAAAAAAAAGAGACCAGATACAGCTTCACTGAACCAGACAAGACGTGACTGACAAGCTTGTGTCTCTTTCAGATGTTCCCACTAGATTCTCCAAACACCTGCAGCTGACAATCTATCACAAGAGATGCACCCAAGTGTGTGATTTTAAAGCTACTTGAGCAGGTATCATGACCTGGCCCTGACACAATATCTTACCGTGTATAGATTTCCAACATCTGTCTGAAGTCCCAGGAAATCAATAAGTTGTCTCCAGGTAATTGTGGCCGGTATCCTTTGTGAGTGAAAACAACACTTGTAAACATGGATGTAAACAGTGCACGGTTTAAAACACTATTTTAAATATCAGCTTTACAAAAGGTTTGAGGTTTATACAATGCATGAGTTCATGTATGCATAAACACAGGTACGGTGTGGTCAGTTAAAAAGTTGTAAACTGTGTGTTTATGAGAAACCCCACAGGGCTCTACCAACATGTGACGTGGACAGTTCCAAGGCTTCAACAACTACGGAGTTATTTTTTAAATATATAGATGTTTTAATTTTAAAAAATACAATTTTACATAAAATGAGTACTTATCGACCAAGGTAGTTGCACCTATGTTTTCATCTGACAATTGATAAATGCCACAACCTGAACTTTTATTTTGAAAGTAAGTGGACTACCTGCACAGTAACAGGCGAACTGGGCGTCTTGGTCAGTGGTGAAAGAAGTACTCTGATCTTTAACTTGGATGTAGAATTACCAACATGTTGCACTTGCATCTGTCTGTTGTTGCTGATTTTCTTCCATGATTTTGGTTGTCGTTGAATAAATGAAGAAACTGAGCTTGAACAATGTTCCACCATCTACAGGTTTAATATCAGATCAGCAACAGTAGAAAAACAAGAGGCAAAGGCTACCAGACAAAGAGTAGGAAATTCAACATCATCCAACAGGCTCTTTAAAATAATTCCTCTGTACAGTATATACACTTTCTTTCTTTCTTTTTTCTTTCTCTCTCTCACTCTCTCTCTCTCACACACACACACACACACACACACACACAGACACACACACACAGGGTACATGACAGCTACAAATTGAGGTGGAGAACCCTGATGCCACCTGACTCCCTGCCTGCGAGTCAGTCAGCCTGATGATGCAGCATCACCCCGAACGCTTCCTGTTGATTGGTCTGTCCACAGTATTCTTTTTATTTTCCATGAAGCTGAGATACATCCAGATGAACGTGTGATGATGTCCAACCACTGGTTCTCAGAGAGGTCAGAGGCCACTGCAGATTAAGTCTCAGGGTCAGAAGGCGTTTCTGAAATATGAGAATGAAATAAAAAAAAAACTGAAAGACGACTGTGTGTCATAAAACGACACAGAATTGAAGGCTTGGCTCCAAAAGTGACCGTCTTTTTCCTTACTACAAAAAGCCAGTGTGACTCTGAAAGCCCCCCCTGTCTCAGCAGCTCAGAGCTGCCAGACCCACCCTATGTCCCAACAGCACCAACAATCATCAGCATCTCCTTGTGTCTCCACCCACCAGGTCCACTTTGTCCTCAGTCTTTGAGCCAAAATCTCTGCTGCATGCTTGCTTGAGCACCAACGGTACCGTCTAGAATCAGCAGGACCAGCAGAATGAGGGCTTCAGTTCCTTTGGTCAGGTCCAGTCCAGCGAGGGGTGGCCGACAGGACGTCCAGGCAGAGATATCAAACATACACAAAACACCATTGAACTGATGTTACAACAGAAATGCTCCTTCATGTGACCCAGTCACATGACTTTGAGTGGGGTGGAGGTCAGCCAATCAGGTGTGCCTGCATAAGGTGAGAGAACATTATTGGTCAAATGGGACGGCCTCACAGGAGGATCTGCCAGGCACCTCTTTGTATAGACAATTATACTTCACGTTTCTTACATTCTGCTGCTGCTAGTGCAAATTAGTTCCTATTTACACCTTATTTTATTTTATTTGACAAATCTTTTTAATACTGTGTCCAGCTGTGCTTGGGAGTTCTTGGTAGTAGTTCTTGCATATTCAAGGTTGATTTTAGAATCTAACACCTACAGTGTCAGTACATGTGTATGACTGTGCTTCCATTTACTTTTTTCTTTACGCATGTTTTCAGTTTGCACACAAAAAGTCTCAGAAAACAGACGATAACATTCAAATATCATGTTCCACATGGTCTTCCTTTATTTGAGTTATGACTGATCTCTTAGTGTCTTCGACAATTCTACAGTTTTACAATTTCATTTAGCAGACGCTTTTATCCAAAGCAACGTACATCTGAGAGCAGATACAACACAAGCAAGGATCTAGTCAGGAGAAAAACAATCGAGATAAGTGCCACAGAACTTCTTCTGCAATGCTTTAAAGGTTCCAATTCAAGGATTAAATCCACCATTGACTACCTTTATGGCGTTGGCAGCTACATAATGTTAATTTTGGAATTTGCTCAGTGGGTAAACTGTATTTAAGTGCATTTGCACTAAAAAGTCCAGTCCACTGTCCCACCCTGTCTGAAGTCCTCCACAATGATCCCCCTGCCTAAGAAACCCCACATCTCCAGTCTTAACGACTAGCGCGGCCAGTCGCACGCACACCTGTGGTGATGAAATGCTTTGAAAAACTGGTCAGGGGTCATATCACATCACTCCTGCCCCACAGTTTTGACCCCCACCAGTTCGTGTACAGAGGATGCCGTAGCCACAGCCCTCCATGCTGCACTGTCCCACCTGGAGCAACAGGGCAGCTACATGCAGCTGCTCTATGTTGACTACGGCTCAGCATTTAGCACAATCCTCCCCCACAAACTAAGTCTTTAGGTTTTCCCAACAACAAACAGTATGACATACAGGTCATACTGCCACTGTAAATAGTAAACAGCGATACCAAGATACTGATATCAAACCCCTAGATGGCGCTATTATACTGTAACATTGGAATAAAGGCTACAGTGATACCTGAGTGCTTCAGTACATTGTGAATCAAGTGCTTCCTACAGAGGACACGTGTTTGTGATCACACCACTTGCTCTAACAACACTACAGAGCTGTTTGAGTAAGTTAGAGAGGTCAGCTTTTAATGGTACGTGCATAAACAAGTTTAGTTGTGTTGAGGTGTGAATAAAATTAAGTAAATTATGATAGTGTTTTGGAGTATAACAATGTAATATGAAAGTAAGTGTGTGTGTGTGTTTATCTTACCATTCTCACCTTCGTGCAGGAGGGTACATAGATGGGGCAGATGCTTGCTGACTGGCCACAATGGCTGAAGAGGAGAGGCCTGAAAGTAAGGGACAGCTATCAGAAACATCCAACATGGCTGACATGTTTCAACCTAACAAGCTTGGCTATTTTTTTTTTGCCTGTAAATGCATACCTAGATTTAACCAGTAAAACTTCCATAGCTGTAAAATGATCAGGAAGTCTCCCAGTTCCCATTAACAGTCAGGTTTTTACCTAAACCTATTTAAAAGTTTAAATAGGACAGTGAATAACACCCTTATAACAAGTAGACACTGGTGCCACTGAGCCTGTTGTAAAAATTCTGAACTGCAGTTCTACCTAACTTGATGCGACAGAAATGAAGCACGCCAGGACTGTATCCATTTTAGTCATAGTAGGCAGCATCTCCATTATAGCATATATATAATCTTAGGTGCATTATTGTACCCTTGTTGAGGGAAATCAGGGTTAGTGCTGACTGTCACTGACAGATGAAGATTTTCTGCAGTGATGATATATTCAGCTTCCTGTAACTACAAACACATCAGAGACGGTGGACTATAACGACAAAATCCAGGCGTTGTTGTCCATTTCTGCAGAGGACAGCATATTATGTAAAGGTGGCAATTTTGTGTGTTGTTTCTTGAGCTATACTAGGGATTAAAAGTTTGAATATTTCAGTCTCAGCTGCTGTATTTTTTACTGTTCTTTTTTTAAAGTATTCTGACAAGCACACCAGAGCTGTAAAACTGCAATTTTATGCCTTGAGAAACAAACTTTACAAAAGCTAAATATTGTTTACTGATTGAACTCAGCCAATGCTCAAGTCTTCCCACCCTAGAGGTCCATGTACCGGGGCCAGTTAAAACACACAAACAAACAAAAACCCAAAACCTGACACTACTTTTACATCGCAGAGTGTCGCACATAAGCACATTTGTGTACACATGCTGGTAAACATTGACAACTTCAAGTGTCAGTTGAGAGAAGTAAATGCATATTGCATTACATCAACCAGATGGTACAACACCAAAGCCTAAGAGGAAAAAAAAGGGAAAAACAGAAGAGAAATATAAAAACAAAAAGCAATACAAAGTTGTGTAATTTGGGCTCTTGCAAAAAAGCTGCAAGTCTTCTAGCGAAAAAAGGGAATACAGGCTCAGCATCATCCTGCAAAATCCTGCACTGGCCAGTCACACTCTTGTAAGTTCAAATTCCTGGAATATTACTTTGGTACATAAACACAGCGTGTATAGAGATGACCTCACAACTACTGTGATAAAAAAGAAAATAATTGCTATAATGGGTAGCTTAGGGGTCGAAGTGCGTAACACATGGGCCAAACATAGACTGTATAAAAGATAGACGTAGCAACCGGCCCTGAAAAATGAAGCCAACCTGGAAGTGTCAAAAACCTGCAATATCACTACGTCCACTAGCTGCTGGCTCCAAAAAGCCCTGGCTCCCATAGACATGAATTGGAAAAGAAGTGATCACATATCATGAAATACTGCATTCCTACAGCTCAGGATTTTTTTCTTATTAGTTCTCATAGTCAAATCCAGAGATCAGGTGGCCAATCTGAAAATAAATCAATACTGAATTTTTAAAAAATTGTCAACATTTTGCGGGGCAAGGGGCGTGGCTGGCTTGATTGACAGTCGGCGAGCAGAAGGTGGTAAGTGTGGGCGGGCAGAGAGGGCCCGCCTCTCAATCCGTCTGACCAATCGCTGCTCCTATGGCTCCGCCCCCCTCCGACGATTTTTGCGTCACTGGCTCCAAAAATCCAAGATGTCAACCAGGAAGTAGCAAAACCCTGGCTTCATTTTCTCAGTGCAGAAACCAACGGGTGACGTCACAGAAGCTACGTCCATCTTTTATACAGTCTATGGGGCCAACAAGCAGTGACTGTCAGCCAGTCTGGATTTCTAATACATGTCATCCAGCTTCCTTATTTCCCTCCATTTCCCGTCCTTTTCTATTGTCACTATTAACCAGAGGTAGAAATTCCCCCAAACAATTGAAAAATATTGCTTTAGTGACAAATTTGTCAGATTAATGTAAATTGTTTCACCCTCATGCAGTGTTCTGACACCTGATAAAAGACTGAACCACTTCAGTATCCAATAGCTGTCTGCATGCACCGCACATTTAGACAAGGGGGCATATGGTGAATCCTAAAGGGGTTCTCCTCCCTGACCTGTGAGCCATGTAAAACATTTACAATTGCCACTCAGTCCTTTCTGACCCCCCACTGCTCACACTACAAACTTCATGCCTTTAAAACAGTTTTAGGTCTATGGATAATATGACGAGGGAATGAAAGGGAGAAAGAAGGGAGAACAACAGGAAAAGAAGGGTAGAATATCTGAGAATCCTGACGAAAACAGGAGGGCTGATATATAAAATGCATAACATATCTATAAATGTGACTGAATTTCCTAAACTGTATTTCATGTCTCATCTGTACGTTAAACAAACATCAACACAGCCCTCTGCGCTTTTGTCATGCAGGGCTGAATGCCCACATCAGAAGATGTTTTTCCTTCTTCTTTTCAGCTGTGTGTCCACCGTATAAGGGGTGTAAGTCTACCTGAGGTGTAGGACAGATCATACTGTCCTGACAGCAAAGGGTATCCCAAGTGATGATGGGAAGGCAGGATCCGCTGGGAGGGTGAGGATCTTGGCCGGTCGCCTTCTCTCTCCCTGTCTCGCTCTCTCTCCCTCTCTCGTTCATGTGGGGTCTTGTTGTCTTGGATGGATGGGGATTTGCTTTTGTACTGGCTGGCGTGCTGCTGTAGCAAGTCCAGAGCTTTGGCCTCACTGGGCGGCTTCACTGTTGGACTGGACCTAGAGGGTTTCTCCCCATCCTCCCCCGCTGCCACCTTCCCTCCATATGAGGGGAAGGAGTAACCCGCCGGTAGGTATGAGCCTGAGGACAAAGTGTTCAAATATGTCTGGTCATCAGGAAGAAAAGGTTGACATACCTACTGCTGCTCATCATACCAATCAACAGTCTGATTATGACTCTGTTACCTGCAGATTCAACATGAGCTCAAAACATTTGGAAAAAAAATGTAGAAGCTCTTTCAAACGTGCTAAACTCCTGAAATCAGATTCTCTTTAAAAAGGCATATTACCTGGGATCCATTTAAAATCAGCTACTGAACATGTCACCACTCTAAAAATCTTTATCATACTTTAATACTGAAGTGTTCCACCGTTTAGATCCTGTTCTAATAGCATGCTGTGACACTAGCATGCCAAACCTTTTGACCATAGACTGTACAAAAGATGGACGTAGCTACCGTGACGTCACCCGTTGGTTTCTGCACTGAGAAAATGAAGCCAGGGTTTTGCTACTTCCTGGTTGACATCTTGGATTTTTGGAGCCAGTGACGCAAAAATCGTCGGAGGGGGGCGGAACCATAGGAGCAGCGATTGGTCAGACGGATTGAGAGGCACGCCCTCTCTGCCCGCCCACATTTACCGCCTTCTGCTCGCTTCGTCTGCATCGTCGCTGCCGACTGTCAATCAAGCCAGCCACGCCCCTTGCCCCGCAAAATGTTGACGATTTTTTAAAAATTCAGTATTCATTTATTTTCAGATTGGCCACCTGATCTCTGGATTTGACTATGAAAACTAATAAGAAAAAAATTCTGAGCTGTAGGAATGCAGTATTTTGTGATCTGTGATCACTTGTTTTCCAATTCAAGTCTATGGGAGCCAGGGCTTTTTGGAGCCAGCAGCTAGCGGACGTAGTGATATTGCAGGTTTTTGACACTTCCGGGTTGGCTTCATTTTTCAGGGCCGGTTGCTACGTCCATCTTTTATACAGTCTATGGTTTTGACCCATATTAAGGTCAAAGACGGAAAGAGGACAAAACCAGCAATAGAAACACTGATGTTACAGCTTCAACTAACTAACATTGATCTTAAAGAAATAAAAATGTTTCCTACAGCCCAAGGTGATGTTGTCACATTACTTGTTTTGTCTGGTTAAACAAAATCCAAGAATGTTTTTCTTGATTATTCCTACAATGATCTTTCCTCACAGTTTTGTATCATATATTTGGATTTTTTTTAAACCCAAAAGAACACATTATGCAATTATGTGTCAACAGGTGTATTTCTGAAGTGCCTGTTTCACTGTTTCCAGTCTTTGAAAATCCATTTCAGGAGTTTTAAGTTAGCTTCTTTGATTTATTGTTTCAAGCCTTAACCATGTTTCCTGCATGCTTGCTGCTTTGAATAAAAGGTACTATTTCCCAAAATGCTCTTCCAAATTCTTCACCAAGTTTCATTTATCACAGTGTGGTTTTTCTTCATTTGTTTGTGTTAATGTTTACTTGCCTTCATCATAGCCTTCATCATCATACACCCTTTAACCGCGTGCAGAGTAAAAGCAGTTCATTTTATGTTTCAGTGTTTTTTTTATTGTTTTACTGCAATTAAAAAAAAAAAAACTCCTTTCAAGGAAAAATAAAGATGTTAATTGAACTGATTGTTACTCTTATTACCTGGGTAGTTTTGCATCATAACCGAGGGCATGCCTCTGTACCCAGGGTGGCTGGCCTCGTAGCCCTGGCTGTAGGCGTAAGGTCCATGCATATATTGCATGTATCCCTGGTGCTGGGCCAGAGACGACGGGAACTGTATGTGGGGAGGTCGTTGCTCCTTCCCTCCCAGTCGGTGCTCCTCCAACTGCGTCCTGCCCTCTGAACCCTCCTTCACCTCCTCTTTCTGGAGGCCCTCCTTTGGTCGCAGCCTCTCTTCTTTCCCTTTCCTGTCTCGTTCTCGCTCTCTCTCGTCTTTCCACCTGTCCTCTTCCTGTAGTTTAGGAGCTTCTGAGTATTTACTGGGGTAGACGTAGGGCCACAAGCGTGAGTCCGACGCCTGCTAAGAAGAAGAAGTTTAGGTTAGGACCACAGACTGTGGCGATATTTGAGTTTCATATAACACAGACTACCGGATTCAACTGTCCGGCTGCTTCTGAAGACAATTGGCTGCTATTCTTGCCTTGTGGGAATGTTCATAGTCTGTTAGTAGATGATCTCATTCATGGCTCTTTTCTTGTTTCACAAAGACGACTTTGAGCATTGCTAACACCTAGATTGCATTTCACTGTAATTTACTCTAGAGTTACACAAAAAATAAATGAAGGTTCCGACAATGCTCCAACAACAAAACTGATCAATTGGTGCAGTATATATATTGATAGAATTTTATCAAACTAAAATCCAGTTCCAAATTCATTTAAAAAACCTGAATCCTTCCAAATCCCTAACATTTGTCTAAATTTCCAAAACAGCTCCACTGGAACTAGATCCATAATGGAACTGACTTTCAGATCACATCTCTAACTACACACATTGCTTACATCATCACACAGTCACCTGATTGTTTGATTTGGACTTTGTCATTTTGTCTATTTGTTGCATTGTCCTGTATTACAATTATGACGTTGCGGGCATGACCAGAGGCCTGTACTGCAAAGCAGGATTTGGAGTAAGTGAGGGGTCTAACTGTGGGATGGACCCTTGGTTTTCAGATCTACAACAATGGCTCAACTCTTGCCTAAATGCATCGTCATGGTACCACTGCCTTCTGACCAATCACTTCTCTTCCTGTGAATAATGTGATGCACAAAAAGCAAGACGGGTCTCTGACGAAGGTGAGCATTTTTTTTTTAAGCATCTAAAACCTTTTCTTTTCCTGATGAGCACAGATAGATAGATATAGATCAGGGGTGTCCAATCCTGGTCCTCGAGGGCCACAGTCCTGCATGTTTTAGATGTTTCCCTCTTCCAACACACCTGATTCAAATGATCAGCTCATCATCAAGCTCTGCAGAAGCTTGATAGCGATTCTGATCATTTGAATCAGGTGTGTTGGAAGAAGGAAACATCTAAAACATGCAGGATCGTGGCCCTTGAGGACCAGGATTGGACACCCCTGATATAGATTCTCAGTGGAGGGAACTCCAGCCTTCCTTGCTTTGTTTATCTGTTGACTATTTGATTTGATTGTATTTTTCTACAGGGGTTTGTATAGGGTCATTCCATCTAAAAACAAAACATTTTCTGCTCTGAATTTTGAGTACAGACATTTATACAGATATTTGGGAATGTTTTTAGCTTGATATATCAAATACTTTGCGAGATAACTTTTTTTTTTTAAATGTCCACTGACCAACTTTCCAATTTAAATAATTAAAACTATATATATTTTTAATATAGGCATATGTCGACCTCACTTTGTAAGCATAAAGATTGGTTTGAAATAGACCTGTCATGTAGTCGTGTATCATTTCTTTGGGAAATGTCTTCATTAGGTCATGAGTTTGACATAATACAGCACAATAAGACCATGAATAACTACGTAAATCTGTTGGAATAGTTTGATGGTTTTCGTGGAATTGTTTTATGCCTTTACATATATTGATTGGCAATTTGATGCACTTCTGTAAGCAAAACTTTAATGGTGAATCTATTCTCCTACTCATTGTGGACTCAACTGTTTCATATGATCAATATTGATTCTTCTTGCTTTGTGTTCCTCGGAATTAAACTTGGCCATCAAGAAGAATGTCACAAGCTGGACTATGCATGTGTAGACGTACAGTATATTTATAGTTAGTGCTTAAGCATTTACTTTCAAATATATCTTCTAAACGGTAGTATGACGATACATTGAACTGAACATGTGATGTCCCAAATGACTGAAAATGATGTTCTATGCCTGTATATTCAAAAATATTTTCTCTAAACGACATATGGAAAACACATGTTGAAAAACTTTGTTCTAACTTGATTAGGTTATTTAACAATATAGATTTATTTTTCTTGTGGTACAACTTGTCATACCTGCTTAAAGGGTTATGAAAGCTCAATAACAAGAACTTTAAAAAAAAAATCATTTTTCAACTAAATATTTCTTATTAAAAAGTATTCTGTATGATTTTGTTTTGCATTATTGTGACACATGCAGCACACATGGTTCAGAAAATATCACTGGTTGACTTCTGCATTATGAATGTTTTTGATCATGTGTGCACAAAGACGGGACTTTTCACGATTGCTTCAATTGTTTTTCATATTTTCACTCACCCATAGTCAGAGATTGTCTTATCTACTTGTCCACTGTTGCAGATTGTCAATCAGTGGCATGATGAGAAATAACAGTGAACATTTCAGGCTTCAATAGTTCCTGTGATATTGTTCAAACATAACCTCAAGTTTTAACTTATGAAAAAATATGCTAAAAGAGGGTTGATGGGCAATTAAAAAAATAATAAGTAACTCGGAAAGTCCTTGATATATTGATCTAAAGTAGCCAGTTAGTGATGGTCAGGCAGAAGGAACCTGATAATTTGCGATGCAATAACTCTATAGTGGTATAATCCTTAAACAGAGACTGAGACTAAAGCCTTATACTTGCTGAATTTACATGATTTGCAGTAAGCCTACTTACCAGTTTGAATGATGTTTTAATATTTGCTCTTTACTTGCTCCCAAGACCGTTTAACGCCGCCAGGGTTTCAGCTGAAAGAATAAGGCTAAATTGTCTTACATGTCATACGAACATCTAAGCAGCACATTTAATGGAATTCACATTAGTTACAGTCAGATTTACAGGTGCAGCTCAAAAAATTTGAATATCGCGAATAACTTAATTGTTTTCCTAATTTAATTCAAAAAGATAAACTTTCGTATATTCTATATTCGGTACACATAAAGGGAAACATTTGAAGTCTTTTTGGTGTTTTATTTTTAATGACTGTGGCCTTCATTAAATTCATAAGTCCAGTATCTCAATATATTACAATATTTGATTTCGAGTTTAAATAAATTACTATTCAAATAGTACAAATACCATGTATCTGTTGGTCTAATTCAGTACATGCAATCATGGGGAAGACTGCTGACTTAAAAGTTGTCCACAAGGCTGATAGCATGCACAAGGAGGGTAGGCCACAGAAGGTCACTCTCCCCCCGCTTTCCTGTCTCTACTATAGACTGTCAACAAAGTCTAAAGGCAAAAAATAATAATAGCAAATAAATAAAAAAGGTCATTGCTGAAAAGGCCAGATGCCTTCAGAGTGCTGTATAGAAGCTTATTAAGGGAAAGTTAAATGTAAGGGCAAAATTTGGTAGGAAAAAGTGCAAGCAACAGGGATGAGTCTTGAAGACTGTCACGACAAGTCAATTCAAGAACTTGGGAGAGCTTTACAGGCTGGCGTCAGCGCATCAAGAGCCATGAGCACAGACGGCTACAACTGCTGCATTTCTAACATCAAGCCACACCGGAATCAGTCAAAAGGTTTTACCCGGGCTGAGGAGAAAAGGAACTGGACAGCAGTCCTCTCTTAAGATAAAAGTAAATTTTAATTTTGGAAATCAAGGTCCTAGAGTCTGGAGGAAGAGTGGAGAGACACAGAATCCAAGGTGTTGGAAGTGCAGTGTGCAGTTTCCACAGTCTGTGACAGTCCACTGTGTTTGATGAAGTTTAAAGTCAATGCAGCCACCTGCCAGGACGGAGATGCACATTTTCTTTTCCAGCTGGACTTAGCACCCAGCCACAGTGCCAAAACTACTACCAAATTGTTTGCTGACCATGATAATATAATACTTGAATAGCCAGCAAAACCCATATGGTGCATTGTCAAGAGAAGGATGAGAAACAATCAACCAAAAATACAAACAAGCTGAATTCTGCTGTCAAAGCAACCTCAGCTTCAACTTAACCTCAGCAGTGCCCCTGGTTGATCACCACCAGGACATGCTGCACTGATGCAGTTTTTAGTGGTGAAGGAGCCCCAACCATGTACTGACTGTAGAAATGTACATACTTTTCAGAATTTGGACATTTTCGTATTGGTTTTTTGTTTTTTATTAATCTTAGGAGACATTCTATGTAATTTCTAAAGTTCAGAAACTATACGCCATAATGATCAACTTTAAAACAAAACAAAAAAGGCTTGGAATATTTTATTTTACACATAATGAATGTAGAATATTTGAAAGTTTACCTTCTTGAATTAAATTACAGAAAGATAACTTTTTTGAGCTGCACCTATACTCGTGTCTGAGTGACGGGGCAGTGTGAATGTGTCTTTTAATGGGCTTATCACTGTCAGCATTTTTAAAACCAGCTTTCCTTCCTGCTTTGACTGCAGCAGCTGTGTTGCTTTTAGCCTGTATTATATATTTATAATCGCTCATATTGGTTTAGAATTATAGTTTGTTCATTCTGTGAGAAATACGTGGCTGTAGACCTATGTGTCTGATGCCAATTGGACTTGTAATCATTCATGTGAACTTGCTTCCGTTTCTGTGAACGTAGAGTTGAAACCAAAAGTTGACATTCACTGCATGAAAAGACATAAAACCTTATTTTCTCACTGTCTGACATTAATCAGTCGAAACGTTTCTTGTTTCAGGTCAGTTAGGATTACCAAAATGATTTCTATTTGCTAAATGCCAGAATAATGAGAGAGAGAATTTTTTATTACTTTCTTCAAAGTCAGAAGTTTACATACACAAACATAACTATGCCATCAAACTATTTGGGAAAGTCCAGATGATGACGTCATGGCTTTGGAAGCTTTTGATAGGTTAACTGACAACATTTGATTTAATTGGAGGCACACCTGTGGATGTATTTTAAGGCACACCTCAAACACACTGCTTCCTTTTGTGACAACATGGAAAATCTAAAAAAATCAGCCAAGATATCAGGAAGAGAATTGTGGACCTCCACAAGTCTGTTGTATCCTTGGGCGGAATCTCCAGAATGTGCATATCAACCCCAGAACAAAAGCAAAAGACTTTGTGAAGATGCTGCTGAAGCTGGTCAGGGAGTGTCATTATCCAAAGGCTACTCAGAGAGGAAGATGCCATTACTCGAAAAGCAACATAAAAAAGCCAGATTACAGTTTGCAAATGCACACAGGGACAAAGACCATAATTTGTGGTCTGATGAAACTAAGACTGAACTGTTTGGCCTTAATGACCATCTTCACATTTGGAGGAAAAAGGGGGAAGCTTGCAAGCCTGAGAACACCATCCTAACTGTGAAGTACGGGGGTGGCAGCATCATGATGTGGGGGTGTTTTACTGCAGGAGGGACTGGTGCACTTCACAAAATAGGTGGCATCATGAGGAAAGAACATTATGTGGAAATATGGAAGCAACATCTCAAGATATCAGCCAGGAATTTAAAGCTTGGGTGCAAATGGGTCTTCAAATGGACAATGACTCAAAGCATTCCGCCAAATTAGTTTCAAATTGGCTTCAGGACAACAAAGTCAATGTTTTGGAGAGGCCATCACAAAGCCTTGGTCTTAATCCTGTTGAAAATTAGAAAGTAAGGCAACCAGTAAACCTGACTCAGTTCCACCAGTTCTGTCAGGAGGAACGGGCCAGAATTCCAGCGAATTATTGGAAGAAGCTTGTGGAAGGAACCCCAAAATGTTTGACCCACGTCATACAGTTTAAAGGCAATGCTACCATATACTAAGGAAATACATGTAAACTTCTGACTTTAACGAAAGTGATAAAAAAATTCTACAAAAAAGTCTCTCTCTCATTATTCTGGTATTTCACAACTGGAAATAATTTTGGTAATCCCAACTGACCTATAACAGGAAAAGTTTTGTCTGACTTAATGTCAGACAGTGAGAGAGAAAAAAGGTTATGTCTTTTTATGCAGTGTATGTAAACTGCTGGTTTCAACTGTATTTATCGCTAGATTCAGAAACCCTGGGTTGACTTAACGAGCCGATAACCACCTGAATATGACCGCTTAGCAAGACTGTGGTAGTTAGGTTTAGTGAAGCCACATAACGCAAACATACTATGGGTATGTTGAACTTACTTCGTAGTACAGGCCCCAGGTCTCCCTTGAAAAAGACAAGCTAAATATAGGTTCAATAAATAAAATCCAAATGATATTACAAATGTGGCTGCTAAAGAACAGACACCCCCCTCCTGAAACTCATCCAGTAGAAACTGAAACCATGACGGAGACTGAGCGTACCTGAAACACAGTACAGCCGAATCCTGTTTAGACATAAAATGCAGTTACCTGTCTGTACCACATGGAAGGCTCTACACCAGCCGGTCTGCCTGGTTCCACCCCTGACTCTTCTTTCCCATGATGACCCGCTTCACTCAGCTTTATCTTCAGACCCTCAGCTTGGGCAGTGAGGGCCTTGGGATCTTCTCCCTTTGCCATGATGACTGACTTGGCCTGTTCTGAAACAAATGTGGGCTCTTTAGGCTTGGTTGGGTTTAGTGCTCCCTTAGAACCCAGGTCAGTGAGGCTGGGGGGTCTGGACAGAGTGGGGGTTACTGTGGCTTTCTGCTTCCACTCGTCTTTCCCACAAGCCTCGCGCTCTTTGCCCTCCACCTTCTTGTCGGCCTGCCGGTGCCTCTCTTCATACTGCTGGCGGTAGGCGGGGTTAGAGGCCAAAAGGTGGGCATGGTAGGCCTGATCAGGGGAGTAGGAGTAAGGAGGAACATAGTACTGATTGTAGTACAAAGGCTGGGAATACATGTTGGACCGCTGCTGAATGACTGACGGCTGCTGAGGCCCTGACTCCACCTTCCTCTCCTCCTGAGGCTCCACCTTCAATTTGCTCTCCTCTCCCACCTCTAGGTCCTCTTCCTTCTTCACCTGCACTCCTTCCACATGAGATAGGGCTGCAGGTGCTCCTGGGCTGGGGTTGGGATAGCTAGGGGAGTAGTAGGAGTCGTAGTTAGGGTAGTATTGGGGTTCCTTACTGGGAGCCTGAGGGGGAAAAAGTGACTTCTTGGCACCTTCACGAGGTCCCTGATCAGGCTCTGACTTGACCTTCACACCCTCTGCCTTGCCCTCTCCGTCCTCCCCCACATCAGAGATGTCAGAGTATGCCGGGCTGCTGGTCTTTACTGATGTGTTGTCAGCCCCATTCTGGTTGAGGTGGAGGGGGGGTGCAAGACCAGCTTCCATCCTGCTAGCCACACCAATGGACGGGCTAGGAGCATTGTCAGAGAAGCTGTACACCTTGTCAGCCTCAGCTTTAATGCTGGCCAGTCGGCTCTGGTGAGCTTCTGTGGAGCCATTAAGAAAAGCCTCCGATGCCTCAGAGTAGGGGCTTTTCCCCCCCTCTGACCTTCCTGCCTTACCTACTGCCTTCATACTTTCACCCTCCTCCCCCCCCTCCCTCTTCTTCTTGTCTTTTTTTTTCTTGTCCTTTGCAAGGGTAGGGCTGGAAGTGAGGTCAGTGAGTGGAGGGGGTTTAGGTTGGATGTTCTTCAGCTGGGGGTTCTTGGGTATGGACTGCACCACTGAACCCAAAACAGGGGAGGATGCCTGCAGGGAATACGGTGACGGGACCCCAGGGGCACTGTGGGCTACAGGGCGAGCTGGCTTTAAGGCTTTCTGCATCAGCTTATCGGATTTTCCTCCTGCCACAAACTTTTTTCCTTTTCTGTTGTCCAACCCATCATTGCTGGCTTCATCAGTCAAACATGTCCCCTCCTCTCCACCATCTGTTACCTCAGGTTCAGTGTCCCCTGCCTTCTTCCTTACCTTTGACCCTAGCTTGCCTGATGAGGGGGAAGGAGCATCAAAGCCCCGTACCTTTGGTGTAGTGGAGCGGGCAGGGGAGAAAGCAGCACCGTTGCAGGAGGATGGATCAGGATGGACGGCAGTGTCATCTCCATATTCACTGTCTCCATCCTGGTCTAATCGGATGTCGTGGTCGTTATGGGCGCGAGCCTGATGGTACTTTAACCCATTAATATGCTTGTACTTCTTGTTACAATTGGGATGGGGACAGTCAATGAGTACAGGGGAGGGGCACGTCTGGTCCAGCTGTGGAGGGGGCAGGGGGTCTGTTTTACCTCCTGTGAGAAGGGGCCCAGTGCCAGTTGAGTTAGTTCTCATGCGCTTTGAAGCTTTGGTATCTTCAGAGCTGGAGGTAGGTTCCATATCAGAGGAAGGTTTCGTCTTCCTCTTGGCAGATGATGGGCTAGCCTTGGCATCTTCAACACAGCCGGTTGTCTGGCTGCCTCGTCGCCCTTTGTTGTTTGTAGCAGAACCACGTGTTTTGCTGCAGCTGCTGCTGCTGCCTTTGTTGTCCGAAGAGTTGCTGTTGTCATTCAACGTCATGTTGCTGCTGGGACGCATCCTCTTTCCCCGACCACGACCACTTCGCATCTCCACGTCACTGGTTGGAGAATCACAGAACCTGAAAACACGCATTTAGTCAGCAGTGAACAGAAGCAGAAAGGGTGAGGAGGAAACTTAGTTGAATGAAGTCTGATGGGAACCAACTTTCTTCATCTGCAAAATGGTATTCAGGGTTTTCCCTATCTTAAAAAGGTAGGAAAACATAAAGTTCAAATTGTTTTTGTTAGTGCTCTCTTTAAGCTAAGGAATGAACTGTCAAGCTCAGGGTGTCTACTGAACTTACAAAAAGTTTCAGACCGTATACCAACTCAGGGTAAAGGCAAGGGACACCCTGGACAGATCAGCAGTCTATCGCAGGGCTACACAGAGAGACAAACAACTAAGCACACTCACATTCACACCTACAGACAACTTAGAATCACTAATTAACCTCAGCATGTTTTTCGACTGTGAGAGGAAGCTGGAGAACCCAGAGAGAGGGAGAACATGCAAACTCCACGCAGAAAGATCCCAGGCGTCCTAAGTGGGCGCAAACCAAGGCGACAGTGCAAACCACCAAGTCACCGCAGTCCATACATTTGAATTACTTGATAATCGATAATAGTACATATATATATAAATAGATAACAATAACAATCCTTGACTTGTTTTCTGTCACTGTCAGTGACAAATGAACTGTCTAGAACCAATTAAAAAACTACTCTAGCTACCACCTGCTTGTCCAGTGGCTTAAGTCAGTTTGTTTTGTGTATGTGTTTATACCTCGGTGGGGCCCAGTCATGTCTTGTGCAGTCCAGCAGTGTTCCCACATATGTCTTGTTCCTCCAGGTGACATTGACAATAAGCATTCCTACAGGAAGATACATAGAAATTTCAATTACATATAAACAGGGCTGTGAGAAATTTTGGGAACTTGGGTAAAAGTGATTGGACTTCCCTTAAATTCCCTGCTGGTCCCCGACCTTTCTCTTACCTGCCTTCCCCAAGCCGCAGCCATCTGATCACCCTGTATCAGCGACACACTTGCCACCCCGATCCTGGCCACAGCCAGCCTATACCTGCCGCTTGCCCACTTGTCTCCTGCCGGCTTCCTGACTACCCTGTAACAGTGACACACTCGCCATCCTGATTCTGCCCACAGACTGTCTGTGCCTGCCACCAGCCCCTCTCCGGTGTTTCGCCAGCCTTCGAGAGCTCTGGCACACCTTGCCTACCTGGATTCCCTGAGCCTGCCTGTTTCTCTAGTTTAAGTTCCTTGTACCTCTGAGCATCCCCGTTTTGTTAGTTTAGTTTAGTCAAGTCATTGTTGTTAGAGTATTTTTGTAGGTTTTTGTAATTTCACTCATTTTTGTATTACTTTTGGTTCGTCTAAGTTCTGTCTCCTGCCCCTCACCAGTTATCCCTGCTTGTGTTTGTAAATCCTCCACTGGTTATATTAATCTGCCCGTTTGTTGGTTTTAACATTTATCCCTTGAGTTGGTGTTTGTTAGGTTTAATCTGATTAGTTATTCCCACTTGTTATTCCACACCTTCTGTATTACTGAGTTTGGGATTGTTCATCATTTCCTTTTATTCTGCCACCTGTCTTTGGCTGCTTTCCTTGTCGGCACCTGGGTTCCCAGACCCACTGTAACACTGATAGGAAGTCTTAGATATATATATATATATAATCACTCCCAGCTCACATGACTAATGGCCCAGTTGACCCAAGACTTTCCCAACAACAACAACAACAGCTAAGAACTGTCAGGTCTCACAACAATGGCTGTGAAGCTGCCAGGTCAGGGATGCCTCAAGATGTTCACACTTCGTTACAGGTGCTTGATAAATGGTGTTGTATACTCACTCCCACTGCTCTCTTAAACCATTTATCTTCTCTGCCCAGAATGTGTACATTGCTATCCTCAAAGGAGTGTACATCATCCATTACATGTAGGTGGACTTCTGAGTCTTCTCCTCTTGAGCCATGTGCTTGTGGAGCTGTTGTTTAGTCTCTCCTATAAACTCACCGACCACTTTATTAGGGACACCTTCATAGTACTGGGTTGGACCCCCTTTGGCCGTCAGAAGTGCCTTAATTCTTTACACTACAGCATAGATTCAACAAGGTGATGGAAACCTTCCTCAAAGATTTTGGTCCATATTGAGCATTGGCATCAACAGCGCATTTTCGCCCAATAAAACTGTTGCTCATTAAATAGTTTCTTTTTCTGACCATTCTCTGTTGTTGTTTTGTGTTCTGTTAGCTGTGGTACTTTTTTTCCCCAGATTTGAAAATCACATAAGGCATATAAGTCCTGAGCCATTTGGGGTCAATAATGTGCCATGCGAGCTGGGGGTAATGATAGAAATCTGAGAGTCCCCATCAAGTTGTGAGAAGAAGCTTCTTGGATGAGAGATAAAACAGCTTAAGGAACCGAAGAGAGAAGTCCAATTGTTTTTTTTACTAAAACTCATAGGATTGCCGCAATCAGGATGACTCTCCATACAGTACAGACTGTATGTATGTATGTATGTATGTATGTATGCATGTATGTGCCAACATATGCCCATCCTTTCCCTAATGTGCTGCTGGTTCTATGTGTGGCATCAAAACAGCTCTGACCCCCCCGAGGCATGGACTCAGCAAAAAGCCTTGAAGGTACCCTGTGGTATTGAAGCATCAAATGTTCCCGGCCATTAGCAAGACACCATCTCAGTCTTTGAAATTTCTGGGTCTTGGTTTGTCATTTTAGAGATGCTCTGACCCAGCTGTCTGGCTTTTGTGGTTTGACCCTTGTCAGTATTATTCAGGTCTTAGCACCTGACCTTTTCTTACAGATTCAACACACTCCCTATGGAGTATATTCATACTCAAGTTCTACAAATGTTCAAATGATCACTACAGACTACAGGACAGAATAAAGAACAGACTACATACTTGTGGATCTGGGATTTACATTTTTAGCTTGTTAATGACTGTTGGTCTCACCATCCTCAGTCTCCTGCCACACGATGCCCTCCAGGTTGACACTGGTGCCTGGCTCACAGGGTCCCAGACACTCTGGCTCGGTTGCCAATGCAGCGTCGGCTGTGTTCACCGCAACGGAGCGTGTGCGCACCATGATTTGCTCACAGGGAGAAGAGATATTGCTGCTGTTGGAGATGGGGCCGAGGAGGTGGAGAGAAGGAGGAGCGGGGGTCGAGACCGGAGACTCTGCCTGGAATAGAGAGGAGAAGAAGTGTGAGTCACAGAAATACACCGATCAGCATGTCTACCCACAGTAAGAGCCTGGAATAAAATGTATGTTTAGATGACAACTCACTTTTCACCTATAAAATCACAGTGCTGTGCTATTACTGGTAGCATATATATATAGAGATGCATTAATACATCTGATTTAATGGCTGTATTTGAATGCAAAACCTGGCAATGAGTTGGCAAGGTTTACCTGTCTGATGTGTCTGTCTGAGAGTGCACAGTGCAGATTTATTTATATTTTTTCATGGTGAATATCATTAATTCAAGCAATTAGTTGTTCTTGCAGCTAACTTCTATTTATATTGACACTTTAGTTCACAGCTGAACAGATTTGAAACTGTAGAGCGAAGTGAGTGAGAAAGATGTGTTGTGATTTTAGCACACAAACTGTGTCTTTTGCTCTCTGTGGTGCTTTTGGACAAATATTGGCACTGAAATAAGAAAAAAAACTTCTGTTGTTTGTGTGTGTCTCTCTGGTAATGTGATTGGAGCGTTTCAGACTTATGCTGTGTTGAAAGTAATACAGAAATGTTACTAGGTCCAACCTAGAACAGGGCTCCAGGCTAACTTTTTCAGTCATCCTACTGGTGCAACCAACTTTGCCAGTTAGTCATACCCCTCACCTGGTCACAGGTGCTCATCGATAGACCCCACATTTACTGATGTTCCCTAAACGCCTCACATTGCAGGCTGCGGTAGAGGCTGCCTGGTGGCTGTGGTTTGCTCAGACAGCTTTCCGAGCAAAAAATAGTTTAAAAAGTGGAAATAAAGTCAGATTTGTCAAAGACGAAACCAAGTGATTTCATCCACGTGTGCTGTTTTCTATGAGCGGAGAAAACATTGCACATAGAATGCTTTTAAAATGTTAAAATGTAAAGACCACAGTCGATAATTTTCATATAGTGGTTAGAAGCTAACATTCTGATTGTGATTAATAATTATTTAGTTTTGTTGCCCTACTCGGGCTGCAAGGTGGCACAGTTGGTAGCACTGTTGCCTCGCAGCAAGAAGGTCACCAGTTCACGTCCCGGTGAGGACACCCGGGATCTTTCTGCGTGGAGTTTGCATGTTCTCCTCGTGCAGCGTGGGTTCTCTGGCTTCCTCCCACAGTCTAAAAACATGTTGAGGTTAATTGATCATTCTAAATTGTCCGTACGTGTGAATGTGAGTGTGCTTGGTTGTCTGTCTCTAAGTGTAGCCCTGTGATAGACTGGTGACCTGTCCAGGGTGTCCCCTGCCTTCACCCTGAGTCTGCTGGGATAGGCTCCAGCCCCCCGCGACCCTAGTGAGGATTAAGTGGTGTATAGATAATGGATGGATGGATGTTGCCCTACTACTGTGTTAGCTGTTGTAATTAGCGAGCTCACCCGCCCAGTATATTCCTGCCTGCACCTGCACTCTGACTATCAGCTGAGTCGGACCTCTGACTCTCTGTTGGTTGAAGAACGCACATCAACTCAACAGCTCGTTTTACACATCAGACAGAAACAGATTGAACAAGTCACAGAAGAAATAAAAGTTATACTTTCCACCACTGTTGCTAACGTAGCAGCTGTCTGTGCTGGTTAAAGCAACAACAAAATTACTAAATAATTATTATTCACTCGCACGAATGTGACCACTTGAAATTTTAACTTGCACACACTGAAAAAAAGGTTGCATATGCGACAACATATGCAACCTAGGCTACAACATTGCAAGCCTTAACTAAACCAGATGTCAGGGAGAAAGAGTGCTCATACACAAGTTCATCCAGTTTTGAAATGCCTCTATATTTAGATGACAAAATCACAGATGGAGCCGAACTAGACTGCTGCAGGAACCATGACACTCCCAGTTTATAGACTCAATCTAACAAATGCTTTATTGCTATTATTTATATCACCTTTTAACTTTTTTTTTTTTTCCTTGTGACCATATTGCCTGCTCAAAGATGATGCCAAACGAAAGGTAGTTGTATTTCTTGTATGATGACAATAAAGCTTCTTCTTCTAACTAGTATATTGGTATGGCTTATATGAATGGGTAATTTGATCTTATCATAGAAATATCTGCACTAGTGTATTCAACAGCCAAAGTAACAAGTACAAGCAGTGCAGCAACAACTGACTGAAACTCATGTTTCTTTCTACTCTACACATTTGAACTTGAATATGATCTGTATATAAATATACAGGTGTGTGTCCACCCTCGTAGGTTTTGGATAAATGACAACATTTCTGTCACACAAAACCTTGGAGACACATACACATGAAGCATGACTTTGTCTCAGGTTGGGGGATGCCACAGGCAAATTTCCAAGTCACTGAATATCGACTGGAATACAGTTCAATCCACTATTGAAAAATTTAACAAATATACCACATGCATAAGGGTTAGGGTCAGGACTTTTCCAGGACATTTTCGGCCGCTACAGACACAAGTTATCACGTCATACACTAACACGTTTCCCTGTCCCCCTCATTCTTTGGAAGTGTTTTCAACAGGTGTAGCTTGCATTTACTCAGATTGTTTATTACCATGTCTATGGCTGTAATTTATCTATGAAAAATAATCATGACAAATGTATCACAGAATAATGCAAACACACCCACGGATTACAGCATAATAATTAGCATGACCAATTGGAGTTACAATGTTCGATTGGACAATTCACAACTCAACTTCTCTCTTACTTTCTCTCCTGCACCTAACCTAGAAATATTTGTATATTTTCAATAAATCACTGAAAAACAATTTCCTTAGTTTCATCTCAGTTTACTGCACAACTCAGTTTTGTTTTTTTTTCTGGCACCTGCATTTCTCAGACATAATACAAATCTAAATCACTGCCAAAATAGCCAAGCAAAACATAAATTGTCAAAAATATAACTAAATATTAATATTAATTTGATCCTGAAGTGCAATAAGATCAATATAAAACAAAGCAATGTCATTCTAATAAAAATGTTCCTCTAAAAAGTCGCTCAGTTATTGTAGCTTCTTAACACTCCTGCAGGCTTTCCAGAATTTAATGCATAAATATGGCCAAAAATGCCACAATGTACTCCAACTGCAACAAAAGGTGCCCAGATAATGACAGCATGAAGCCAAAATGTGCCCTCAATATGCCAAAATGTATTTTAATATGCTCAGGACATTCCAAAATGAACCTGAAAAATACCAAAATGTGCCCTTCGTATGCCAATATACACCTGATATGTTAAAAAATGTGATCAGATTATGAAAAAAATATAACCAAAATATGCCAAAATGTGCCCCAAGTGTTCCAAAAGAGACCCCTAAATATGCCAAATGTATCCAGAATATACCCAAATGTAGCTTAATTTGCCGATTAGGGTTTAAGAGGGTGAAGTTGGCTTCAGTGGGGACAAAATGTGCACAACGACATGTAAACAGTAGACACGACAATTTACCCTCATGTACTCAGGTCCTGTTTTTTTTAAGAAAACGCCGAATAAATAATAAGTACACTAGAACAAGAGCAAAATATAAGTAAAAATACAGCAATACAAGCGTAGTAAAAAATATAAACATTAGAGTAGAAAAGCCACAATTAGTTGTGTTTAGCACATATATGGGTAAAGTGTTTAATAGTGCAGTTGGTGCAGTCCGTGTGTGATGGTGGTGTGAGACTACAGAACATGACTCGAGCTCAACAGTCTGACAGCCTCAGGGAATAAGCTGTTTCTGAGCCTGGTGGTTTTGCTCTGTTTTTGGTCCACTGCTCATCAGCACAGTGCTCTAATTTGTCCGGGACAGTTTTGTTTGATTTTTTCAAATCATTTGTTTCAACCACAATCCAAAAGCAATGTCTTATTTCACTAAATTATAATTTAGTAAATTTTTATTATTATGACTTTTCTTAGTTTCTAGTTATTTGAGTGACTATTGTGAATTTTGCCTTTTCTTTAATATAATATATTTGAGGAGGACTGTAGATGGCTGGGTTACATTATAGAATACAGTCTTTCTCATCAGAAATGAAAATAGCATGTACGAGGACTGATTAGTGAAATAATTCACGACAAGTATTTTTCATTTCAAGTCATCATTAGTAACATGGGCATGACAGCGAGACATGGTATAGCTTTATGCTGTGCAGCTCATTACGTGACAGCAACAGGACAGTGGTTGTGACCCAGTTGAAATATTAGCAACAGAGGTGCAGCCAGGTTAGATTAACTTCCTAAACATCAGTTCAAAACGACAGCTCTGGAAATTAACCCTCATCTGATGTTGAAGTGAATGCCAAAGTGTTAACAAAACTTGCCATTAGCCGCTGTTAACGATCACTGAAAGAATATTTTGCCGTCAAACATCCCTGGAGGTGCTTGAAATAACAAAATGTGGTGGCACATAGTCTTCCAGTGGTGCAACTAACTTTCTCATTTAACGGTGCACTCAAAACTTTTCACTGTGGCTTTTGGTGGCCCAATTATAAATGTGACTGGTGTGCTTCTGCGTTGTTATGATAAGGATGCCACGGCACACTATGATCTCTTGGAGGTGATTTCTGTCTAATATGAAAATAATACATGATAAAGAAAAGCTATCATGTAGCTGCCTGCACCAGGTCCACTCCCACAGGGGAACATTACAAAAGAGCTGTGAACACCCATGGACAATGGGTGTTGAGTAAGGTTACTACTGATTGGCCAACAGTGTATCAGCTCCAGGGGGCTATAAGCCTAACCTTCCCAAATGTAACAAACCCTTATTCATCAACTGAAGCCTTGGGAGAGCATTAATGTAATTCTGGAATTAACAGCATTGTCAACTCTGAATAAACATCCTGACTGTCATTTAATGAATGCTTAATCTTAAGTCAAAAGTCAATTTAACAGCCTGTTCATCCCTGAATTAACTTCCGTTTTACCTCACAAATAAACAGCCGTTTTTACCTTGAATCAAGTGATCGTTGAATTTAGAGCATCTTTGGTGCTAAATCTACAGCCTGTCCAACCTCCATTCAACCATAAAGCAAGCATCTGTTTGCCTTCAATCAACCATGTTAAGACCTCCTAAAAAAATTCTGAAAGTCTCACCGTAACGCAGTCAAACAAGCCGACTTAGAAATGTGCCTGATCTAAATTATTCCTGAAAACTGTAGCTGCAAAGAATCCTCTGTTGACTGTGGCTACTGTTAATGTTTCTGTCATGCTTAATGGCAGAGGCATTAATAGTAGGGCGATCTAAAAACAGAAACTACGAGTACGTTCACTGTAGTTCATTCTCAGATGCTATGATTTCTTTTTGTTTTTATCCAGTACTGTGCAGTCTGTGGAAATGAACAATGCTAAACTGCTCAGTTTTACTTTTCTACTGACAGGGACAAAACATATAAAAGAAGGGTTTGCAAATTAAAGCAAACAGATCTACATTTTGATCAAATGGTCTTTATTAGTCAAGGTTTAAAAATGTTATGGTACATTATAGACTGTACGTACAATTGGAACTACACAGATTATTTGTTCTTGTGATTTCTACTGTACTAGAATCATTCCTTAAACTGTCTCACCTCCACTCAAATCACTTCCTGTAACGATAACCTGATATCACCTGGACTCCTAAATTTTGATTACTATTACACAGCCCTACCTGTAACTGGGGGGAAAAAAAAGTTACCTGTAATGTTAGCTGCCAACAGAAGAATTTATTGTGCAATGGCTAATGTAATAACCCAGATGTAATCCTAATTAGATCAGTACTAAACTCATACTGCAGTTAAACCGCCACATCCATACCTACTGAACCTAACAAAAGCCTAACATATTACATTCATTTGGCATTATTTGGGATCTGATACACAGTCCAAGCACATTAGCACATTGATGAAAGTCTTGCATACCCCTGAAGGTGTCTTTCAATTTTCAACTCAAAACACTGCAAAAGTGGTTAATTTTACCTAAGGGTGGGCGATATGGCAAAAATATCATACCGCGATTTTTTTATTATAAAATCACAATTTCGATTTTATCGCGATCTTACATGTATTTTTTGAGACTAAGTGCAGCTGGACCACAGATCACTCGTTGCAAAAAACTGGACGTTCTGAACTTTGCGTTCAATCTTTTCTCGGCATTCAGAGTAGAGACGTGGAATGGCAGCGCTGGAGAAGTATTTTCGGCTGGGCAGCTCGTACCACGGGTCAACTACTTTGAGCAGGCATTTGAACCCCTCGTTGAACGGAACCATATCTTTTGCAAGATAAAAGGTAACTGCTTCTGTTACTGCTTTCCATCACTTGCTTGTCTTCTCATACGGAGTGCCTTTAGAAAATGCCTGTGTTAGCGTTGGCTGTATGGCAGTGGTGGGAAGTAACGAAGTACACGGGGCTGCGGCACATATTCAGAGATCAATTCCTCCGTTTGGCTTTCAGCCATGGCTCTCCATGCGGCTACCGCTATACAGACAAACAAGGAGGCTGGTAAGAAATTGCACCACTGCTCGTAATTCACTATGATTGGTCGGTCAGGCTGACGACGTAATACATCTGGTGCGTCGGTGCATCAGCATCAAACAGCAATTTATAGAATGTGACCTAAACGATCCATACGATCTCCTCACTTTGGCAAATCGTCTACACGCTCAAATCATTCACAATCTAACATCATCTTATCGCACACCCCTAATTTTACCTTAACTGCATAGTTAAGCTGTGGCCCTTCACAGAAGAATGGCTATGAAGTGAGTGTAGGTTAACATGCTCATTCTATTTGCTAACAACAAAACTGGAAATTATGTTAATGAGAGAAACTTTGTTGGGAATTTAGTTGTTAGAGCACACATATGTGAATACTAGCTCAATTTAGGTTGCATTGAAGTACAAAAGGTGACATGAAAACACAGTAGGGCCATTCCACCTGAAATCCTCAGTGGCCTTCTGCTTGACCATCTCTGGTTTCCTTGAATTGTTTTAACCATAAACAATGTATATTTAAAATGGTATCTGTGAAATTTTAGCTTGATATATCAAATATATTGTAGGATAACGTCTTCTTTTAAACTGCCCACAGTTCCACATTCGTCACATTTTTTTAAAAAATTTGGACCGGAAATTGTCACTGCTATTTGTCACCATGCCATCAATTCAGAATCTGCAATACGAGTAGATCAGTCTCTGATTATGGTGAAGTTGAAATATGAAAAAAAAAAATTGAAGCAGTCATGTAAAATCCAGTCTTTGAGCACACAATAACAAAAAAATGATAGTGTAGATTTCAAGCAGTAATATTTTTTAGGAATCATATATAGTTGCATGTCACCATAATACAAAACAAAACTAATACAATACTTTTTAATATTAAATAATTGATCAAAACATTACATTTAAAAAAGAAACTAAATGTTTTTGCCAAATTTTCATAACTGATTTAGCAGGTATGGCAAGTTGTACCACACAAACAAAGACATGACCTTCACATGTTCCACCCACTTAAACATCGTTACAGACCAGGCACACTTCTCCATTGCAACAGCCCTACCTGACAACAGCAGCCTCCCCCAGCAGGGTAATGCAACCTGCCACACCACTAGAAAAACTGACTCAAGGAACATGACAAACTCCCCAGATCAAGAACTGATCGAGCAACCATGAGATGAGTCAGAGTAAGCCCAATACATAGAGACCCTACACCACAAACCACAGGATCCACAGTAAATATCTCAGTATGAAACACCACAGGGCACTGCCACAGGTCCTGTTTCCATGCACCGATGGGTCTGAGCTGTTTTGGTGGCACAAGTGTGAACGACATATTATTTGGCAAGTGGCTTCTTTGTTGTGAAAGTTGTAAAAGCCATAAATTTTATTGCAAGACTAGCATCACAAACATGCTAAGTGGCCTTCAGCAAAGCACATGGCACCAACCACAGCACAGAGGAGTTATTAAACATTTTGATTACACAAAAAGTAAACCTTACATCTTCTTACCTTCTCACCACTGACAACTTTCTTCAGATTTCGGCAGTCACTGTTTTCCACTTCCTCCTGTTCTGCTGTCATTGCAACAGCCTGGCCTAGCCCTGCCATGTCTAGTACCATATTCCCAAGCTGCTCGATTGACGCTAACTCTGGAGTTTGTTGGCCCTCAAATGGGCTGCTGCAAGCGGTCCCGGTCAGGATAAGGGCCCCAGAATCTTTCTCAGTGTTGACCACTCCTGTGGCCGAAATCTCAATTTTCTCCTTCTTTGCTTTCCCAGACTGTCCATCCTTGTCTTTTTTTACAGCAGGGGGGGTACGGGAGGGTTTACAAGACTTGTCAGTTCCCTTAGCTGGGGAAGAGTTTGGGTTCTGGGGTGGCAGTTCCACGGGGGTCCTTCCCTGAACCTCCTTCTTAGCTCCATCTGAGACTTGGGCCTTGATAGATTCCTTAGCGTTTTTACTACGCTTTGATTTGGATTTGCTCTCTTTGCCCTGCATGGCAGCTACAGGACTAACAAAGTTCATATTGTCAGGTAAAGCAGCCACAGCGCTGGGAGGGGCGGCCATGTCCCCTCCCTCCTTACTGCTCGACATCTCTAGCTTGTCCTTCTCTAAATCGGCGTCCAGATCAATTATCAGATTGCCTACACCGATATCCCACTCATCACCACTGTCGTATGTGTCTACCGCGTTGGAGTCCACACCTTTCCCGCCTGCAGGGCCACTGCTGAGGGACATCTTAGTAGGAGTGCCCCGGAGTGCCACAGGAGGGCCACGGGAGGGCCGTGCTCCTCTCAGTCACAGGACGCCTCCTCAGGGCTGGACCCCACACCTCCTAACTGCTCCCCACATCCCCCCTGTAAACAGAAAAAAAAACAACAGATTAGACCAAAAAAAAAAACAGCAACAACAGGCTAACCCTGATTTTTTTTTTTTTTTTTAAAGAAATAAATAACAATAAGTAAGTCTGAAAATGAAGTTTAACAGTTTAACATGGGGGTCTTTGGAGAGTCAGCCTGAAGTGGCCGGCAGAGGAACTGGCACTTCTGCATTTGCTTCATTTTTCAGTCCTGGGGATTGCTTTTGGGTTTACTTCTCTTGACAAAAGCACTGATGAGGAATCACAGCAACAAGCAAAATGAGGGAGCACAAGCATCCCTCCTTCATGCCACTTATCACATGGAGCAGATGAGTCACAGCTTACATACAAAGCTTTTGGCAGAGCCACAGGAGCAGGTGCAGTGTTATTCTATATGATGTTTTCTTCTTCCTATGCATCTCTCTGTCTCTCTCCACCTGCCAGTACTGTTCAAAACAACTATAAACCCTAACCCGTCTGTTCACAAAAAAACAATTGTGCATTTTGGGTAAACATATATTTATATTTTATAGCTAGCCCTACTATTATACATATTTTTATTTTTTTTGTGGCAGGGCCTATTACCCTGTAAGTGATTTAAACTAACTACAGCCAGTGATTCCTCTGAGCCAATTTAAATAGGGTCCCTTTGATGCACTCCTCAGGCTCAGTCAAGGAAAGTTTGAGGAACTCAGCACAGATCTCAAGACATAAATCAATGACTGGAACAAGTCAGTAAGGTCACTTGGAGCCATTTCAAAGCAGCTACAGACTCCAAAGTGCTGCGAGATGACACGTTGTGAATTGTGCTATATAGAAAAAATTGAATTAAATAATAATAAACTGGGAAAAACAATTGTTTGATAGCATAGTTGTGTAAATTACAGTTGTGTCACTACCACGATCAGGAAGAAAATGCAACCTGTCATCTGCTGCTGAGAGACAACTGGTCAGGATGTTACAGACTCAGCAAAGCATCACTAAATAGCAGGTCTGCAATGAATCTGAAGCTGCTGGGACACAGGTGTCAGTGTCATGGGCTGAGAGGCTGCCATGTCAGAGGGAAGCCCTTCCTTCAGACAGACACATGGACCTGACAAGTGTATGTAAACTTCTGCAGACTTCTACAGCTCCTGATTTTCTATGATGGAATCATTGAAACTTGTCAGGTCACAAAAAGCAATTGTCCATTTGGCTGTTTCATAAATCTATTTTAGATCTTAGAGAAATATGACAATATCTGCTGGGCAATTCCCAGTCTGGGTAACGTGAGTGAACAAGCCTCCTGGAAGGATCCTTAGACTTAGACTCCTCACGCTACGCAAACCTAGCTCAAAATATGACAGAATAACAGGACTGAAACCATACTAGCTCAGGCATCCCAGGTGTGCATTAGCTGTTGGGGGACCAGGTGCTGATGAGAACTGGGCTACTGGAACCTGACATGCATGGCCTACAGTTGAGAACATGGAATTGATGGAATGCTATGACAGCAGCAGGCCCAATAAAAGAGGCTTCTTGCAATGCATGTGAGACCTATGAATTGGTAGAAGACCCGTCTTCGTACTGATCAAGACGGAGCTGGTGGCTCAGTGATCGAACATAAAAAGAAACAGACTACTGTTGCAGTTGGAACTTGAAAGGCTCCAAAAGAATGGTGACACTCCTGTACACCAAGGAGATACGGCGCTCACCCCAGTAAAAGAGGAAAGCAGTGCATAATAACCTGATGCAATTGTGGACGGACTAAGCAATGTCAGCCCCCAGATGAGACAACCCCAGGTCACTGACAAAGTCATCAGAAGAGATGCTTGCAGATGTTAACACAGTTCTCCTCACTGACTACAGAAACAATTTAACTTGCCCATGCAACAGCAACAGTAATCTTGGAGATCCTAAGGCATAAGATCAAGAACATAGCATGCTGCAATTGCCTCCCATGATCAAGGAGTTTGGAAGCCAAAATCAATGAAGCCCAGATGGATGGTAGTTGGCTAATAGCAGTACAGAAATGGGTCGTAACAGGTAGGTCCTGGATGAATAGGTACAATATTTCCACAAGTGAGGCAACTGAAAAATGACTCAGAAGCAAAGAGAATAAATGGCTTGTTCTCTAAAGAACCATCAAGAGTGCACTCCCAGCTTTAAGGGAACAGCAACATAAGAGCAGACCCACTCAGATTGGAGAATGAGTGACAGTGGAAGGACATTTAGGAGAAAGAGGCATCACACAGTACCAATGCCAAGTGGCTAGCGGACCTGAGAGCAGACCACAGCGACCACCCAGAACAAAAACCAGTCACCACCAGTAAACCAGACATCCAAGAACGAGTCCTGGACAGCACCAGGACTTGACATAATCTACTTCATGACCGCCTGGCAACACAGATGAGAGAGCTGGTAGCAGCTGGCACACACCCAGACTGGCTAACACAGGGCAGGACAATCCTGATCATTAAAGATTTCCACAAGGGTGACACACCTTGGGACTACTGGCCAATACCTTACTTCTTCACAACACAGAAGATCCTCTCAGGCATCACAGCAGCTAAGCTAAGTAGGCACCAACTCAATGCACGACTCACAACACAACACAATCATCAAAAACTAAATGCACCTGCAGAAAACAAAACTGGAAGCGAAAGTCTGAGGCCATCGCACAAGTCATTATCAAGTCTAGCACATACTAAGGTGATGCACTATCCCTACTCCTGCTCTGCACGGGGCTCCTCTTAGGTTATCTCAGAGTAGAGATGGTTGCTGTTAAGGTCTTAACGGTACTGCTACGCTTACCACTGCTGCTTATCGATCTGGTACCTAACAGTACTCTTATCAGTCCTTTTTGATTTGTCCTTTACAAAATAAAAATAATAAGAAAAATAAGAAAACAAAGTAAAAACAGACTTGAGGTTTCTTTATCCTCTCATATCTACTGACACTCGAGTAGCACTGTGTCACAACACTGTTTTGAATCAATCACTCATATACTATAATGTGATAATTGAAATAAAATAAAAACAATAACTGTTTACAGCGAAACATAGCTATCTTTTGCAAATGACCTTTTAGGCACTAATGTTGTGGTGATGGGAATGATCAGAGCACTGCAGACAGCATGACAGATTTTACTCACGAAATAAAATATTACGCAATGTATTTCATTAAACTGTCCAGCGCTACATTAGAATTAAAGGCTGTGCGGGCTGTTAGCATACATAACATACCTGATTAACAAGAGATGAGCTACAATGTTTGGACAGATTGTACGTGTCTGCTCTCACGTGCAAACAATTTGTTATTCCTGTGGCAGCAAACATTGTTCGCATCAGCTGTAGTGGGATGTAATCACACTTTCATATGTTTACATCTCTTCTCCATTGTCACCTGTGTGTGCTGCAGGTGAGTGACAGGGAGCTACCTGCCCCTCACAATCAAACAGTTGAAGGGTTTTTTGTTGTGGCTGCACAATGTTACGAGTACAATGTTTTACAAAACAGCCAAGGCACTTCAACAAAAACTTTTATTTTGCAGAAAACGCAATGATCAAAATTAGAGAACAACAATGGCTGTAGATCGAAGACAGATTGCAACAGAACTTTCTGAGGGTTACAAAAGTCAACATTTCGTAGGAAGTGTGCAGAATGTTGCTTTACATGACTTCAGCACATCTGCAGCCACAGACATCACTGGTCTCTCACTTCATTTTATCAGACAGGTTCTATTCAAGTGATTTCTTGATCGAACAGGTCTGGAGGTAATCAGGCTTGGTTGTGGGCAGTGAAATTGAACTCAGCTTTCCAAAAAATGTGATTATCCACAGTTGATTCATGATTTAACAAAGGGGGGCAATTACTTTTTCACATAGGGCCATGTCGGTTTGGATGGCATTTTCCCTTAGAACATTAAATCATCATTTAAAAACGTAATTTTGTGTTTACTTTAGTTATCATTGTCTAATATTTACATTTGTTTGATGGTCTTTCTCATGACCCCCCAGCCCTTTCCTGTCTCCCTCCACCTTTGTTGCTCACCCTCTCACTCACTCCAGCTGTGGCAATTAGCTCACCTGACCCTAATCACCACAAGTTCCCAGAAACACTCTGTTCCTTCCATAAACCCTCGTCCCTCATGTTTCTGTTGACCCCTGCTCTGTTTCCTGCCTGCCTTGATCCTCAACCTGTCTCCAGCCTGCATTCCCCCGAGTCAGCGTTCTCCTGCCATCGGCCCCCACTCTGCTTCCAGCCTCGATTCCCTGAGCCTGTCTGCCCCCTCAGTTTTGTCCCCTTTCTTAGGGGGATGTAGTACATTCAAAAATTAATCGCACAAAAGCTTCATCTAAAGCAAGTCTGTGGGAACAGTTAGAAACTATCTGGTAACAAAAGAGAAAGTCAAAAAGTTCATTAAAAACAATGCCAGCAAGAATGCAAGCTGTTATCAAGGCCAAAGGAGCCCATACAAAATCTTAAGTTTTTTGGTTATTATGTGTGGAAAAAGGACTGTTGTAAAAATTCCAATAAAATTTTAAACAAGTTGATGTGATAGGTGTTCTAACAAATTTGTTAAACACGTATGGATTAGAAGCTAACTGAGGTGAAAATGTGAAAATGGCCAAGTTACATTTAACCAAACATCAGCATTGCTGTATGTACATTTCTGCCCCACCATGTCATATTTCCAGAAGATCTACAATACATTTTTCAAAGAACCAAAATGCACAATTGTCCTTTTGTGACAAAGATAGGTATCGCAATCATTCCATCACTGAAAATGTAGAGCTGTAGGAGTCACTGGAAAGTCAAGACTGACATGCCACGCCTGGTCAAAAGTGCAATTACTATCAGCAGTAATGTGTGCCACCAGAAACCGGACTGGAATGATTTATATTTGAATTTGTATTGCTCAACTTGAATTATTTAATAAAACATGTCATGTAGTTCATATATTCTGAACTTTACACTGAAACCAAATGTAAAAGTTTGAAATTGAATTCTGTTGCTC